TGCTAAGTTTAGATCCACTTGCAGGGCAGATGTTCTATTCCGGCGGCCCGAGCGTTGGTTCTTTTGGGCGACCTGCAGTGGCTCTCTTGCTTTGTGAGGTGATCAGAGGATTTTGTACCAATAGTCGACGCCCGGTTGTTGCTTCTAAGCGCCAAACCAAGACGGTGGCTCGCCTTAACCCTGATGCCGACCATATCTGGCGCCAACAAACAACGAGCATTACGCGCTGGCCACGTTTCGGCCCCGTTACACCCGCATCTTAGCTGGACTTGGTGTAGAAAAGTGCCAGCGCAACACTACTGAACAGATCAGGCGTGGCTTCATGAGGAGCAGAGGCAATCACAATCGTCTGTTGCTTGCAGCAGACACGCATGGGTCATGGCTTCCTCTCCTGCATCGTCCATTCGCCATGACCAGGTCCTTTATTTGGCCTCGGGCGCATCTGGAGACCGGGTGTCTATCCTTCCTTCGCCTCTCCGCATCTCCTCTCACTGGGACTTGCAAATCCGGGCACCCACCTGGCAACTCTTCACACCAATGAAGCCTACGATGGAGGCCAGATCAGTACAGTCCGCGCCTACAGACGCAGGGGATCAACTACCCACCCGCCTTTCATACAGCTGCCCCCTACTAGAGAATCAACCGATGTGTGTGTCTCATTTTGCTAGACGAATGGTGTCTATCACGGCGCTTCCAAAGTATGCCACTCGCGTGTATACACTGCCAGGCCATGGTTGCCGAGAGGGACAGCCCTTAAAGTGCGGCCATTCTTCCCAATGCTACATCAATTTCTTCATCACTCATCGCAGCAGTGTGTGGACACTCTGGTGAAGTCTATCTGGTCTTCCTGATAATCCTACGAGTCAGTGTCCACATCCTGTTATCCTAAAGCTCTGCTCCTCTGTCTGTCTTGACCGCATACCCACCACAAGCATGTCAACCACCAGTGCTGTGAGTGCGCATTCCGAAGATGACCTTCCTCCTTCGTCCTTCGATGGTAGCCACCTACCCTGGAAGGCGTTTCGTCAGCAAGTACTCGCACAGTATCGCATCAGAGTGATGGACTCTGCGCCAAAGGAAAAACTACCTACAGAGCTTCTGGCAGCGATTGAATCCGAACTACCCAATGTCACCAAATATGAACCGCAAAAGGAACAATTCCGCGATCAGGTCGTCAACGGTCGAGGATTTGGTCCTTCGCCTCTCTTTCCACCCAACTTGCTCCCATCCATCGATGGTGAGCCTAAACTTGCTCGTTGCATGGTTCCTTGCTTCAGCCGAGAAGCCCTTCCCGAACGTGCTCTCAATCGCATTGGACCACTCTACGAACTGAGCGTCCCACGCAGTGGCCTTGGGTGCGGCTTTGCTGGCGCGGCCTTCACGACTGAAGAGCTAGAGGTCCTCCCTTCGTGGCTGGTGACCACTGGCACCATTGTCCACTTCGATACAGGGTACATCTCTCCAGGCGCTGCGCTGTACTGCCCCTTCCTGGTCTTTGAACGCACATGGGGAAACAAGGAACATCGCCTCGAGTCTGCCAATAACCAATGTGCTATTGGTGGCGCATGGTGTGTCAGGGCGCTTCAGATGCTATATGCCAAAGCCTGGAAAGGAGGAATGTTGCCCGAATTGCCCATCGCATTCTCTTGTTCGATCGACAACACCTTTGCTGTTCTGAACATGCACTGGATCGACCACGGTCAAGTGTATTGCATGTCACCACTGTGCAAGTTTGATCTCAGCAAGGACGATCACTTCAGCAGCTTCCTCGTCTGGGTGGACTCGATCGGCAAATGGGGCGTTACTCATTTGCTTCCTGTCGTCAAATCTGCTCTGGCGCGTCTGCGGATCAAGGAAGACACACCACCTCCTACTCCACGTGCTGCTAGGCTGACTCTCGACACCGCATGTCCCAATGAACAACTCATCAAATCTCTGAAAACGACATTTGAAAACATTCCTTGGCGATTCGACGACGACGAGTTCACGCCCGTGAGCAGCAGCACTGCGAGCTGGGGAAGTCCAATGGTCACTGACCTAACCTTTGCGAACTTGAACTATCCACCTGTGCCAGCTCGACCATACGGTGGCACCCCAACCTCTGCTGTCCAGAAGAAACAATTCCTCGCGAATTGGGGGCCGTACTCCACCCCTCCACCAGCATACGCACAGAACAGTGAACTGATGTGGCAAAAACGCCTCAACCATGCCATGGACGAGATCCATGACCTCCAACGCCAGATCCAGGTCCTGAAGAATGACTTCAGTGCATCCGCTGTAAACTGTCAGAGCGAGTTGTCGGATGTGAAGTCAACTATGAGTTCTGTCCTTCGCAAGGAAACTCTCACGCTGCGGAACAGATCGCTCTCTCTGGGCGTGCAGGAGACTTGGTCGATGCAAAACATGCAGCGGAGCCCACTCGTGAACGAGGTTCTTCCACAATTCGTGGTCGACAAGCCCCCGATGCCTCCACGGCATAGACCATTTCACCCACCACCATCTCCAAAACTCCTTTCCCCAGGACTCCAATCTCATGGGCCTCCTTCACCTGGCCTTCCGTCTCCCGGTATGCCTTCACCTACCTTTTCCATCTACAGTGAGACCACCAACATTGTCACAGTTCCGCCTGCGCCACCCAGGGCGGCATCTTTGTTCAAGGTCGCCACTCTGATGGTATCCGGACATATGGCCAGCATGTTCATCCCCAATGTCCTCCTGCGAGTTTTTGTCTTGGGTTGCATCACCGATGTGTGCATCCTGGCTTTTGCCAGCCCGCACCTGCCCAGCTCAGCGGAATATCTCTGGTCACTCTGGAGATCTCGTTGATGCTTGTACACTCTTTGTGCGAGTCATTAATTTGAAGTCCCTATCTCTTTCTTTCCTTTGTACTTTCAGCGGCGGTGTTTTGGTGCAATCTCGGCGGAATTTGGTCAGTCATTCTTTTCACCCCTTATATGGAAGAACCTTTGAGGTCTAAAAGCGGATACTGGAGGAGTTTGGACCACTGATCCCCTATGATGGGCCGGTTTCAATCAGTGTCACGACAATGGAAGCGCTCCGAATTGGGCGGTTTCAGCACTCCAACGGCGAGTGGAAATAGGGATGTCTCCCGAACAGAAGAGCAACAGGCTCTTTCACAATGTACATTATCGATATGGGCTGATGCAGGGCAGCGAGGCAGTTACCAGGTGTTTCCTAGATAATGAGACCACTACTCTCGAGCCTCGAGGTCCATTGCCAAGTACCAAAGTAGGACTCGAAGTCGATGGATAACAGAGGTACCGGCAGCGGTTACCAAAAAAACCCCACAAGAAATCACTTGGTATATATGTTTTCACTCTCTAAATTCTGTCACGCAAAGACCCCCTTATCCACAACTAGGGCGAATCCGAATACCACGAGTTCGAGTCACGGTTACGACAACAAAGTAATCGAGGTCCTGTCAGGTCAAAACTATCCCTCCGGGGGTAGTGGGCATCAGGCACCTCGATTCCTTCCGGCCGTCGTTCCTCCCTCCGAGACCCAGACACCTCCCTCTCCTATCCGATCCGAACCGACGACATCAACCAACTGTAGTATAAAATCCATAGTATAACCGGGCGAGAAAAACCAACCTCCCCCTAAAGGGGGGGGCGAGTTTCGCTTATCACAGACCAGCAGGTTGAGCTGTTCTGTGATAAGTTTTTGCCGTTTTGGACCCTGCTCAGAAGAAGAAGAAGGATGGTTGAGCTAAGACAATCCAAGGCGTGACAGCCCCAGTCTAAATGAATGGTATGTAAGAGGGCGTTTCAAGGGGATCTGTCACACAAACATCTACCTCAGACCCCTACCTCAAAAGGGCGCTCCTGATTCACAAGGGCTTTGTAGGGGAGGAACGGACTGTAGTACGGTGCAGTGTGGGAGATATGGACACAAGGCTGTCACAGACAAGGCTGAGTACACAAGGCTACGACATAGGAACTCTATACACACAACAACTGACGCCAACACCACGTAAATGCGACAGTAAAGGCGGAGGAAAATACAGGATATGAACAAACCCACCAAGGTAAGTCAGGAGAGGTCTTCTGTCATGTTGCCACTTCTGCATGATTCATTCTGATATGAACGACCAAGACAAGGCACAGACGCGGCCTGAACTGGCTTGCGAGAGATGGACAGACTATTAGGATTCATGACCTTATTTCTCGAGACGAGGCGAGAACCACACACCGAACTCCTCACTTCCCTGATACTGGGTGAATGGAAGCTGGTCTTGGAGCGTCGGCCATCGGCGTCCAGCCCCAGATCGAGGCCAGGTCCTGGAACTCGTGTAGAATGATACCAGCTTGTCCAATGCGGTAATCTCCCAATCCGGATCCAGTATCTCCAGCTCGTACGGAAACTTCCGGTCTTCGAAATAGCATAGAAGAGAGAGGAGGTGATACCGCGCATTGATGGGTATGTATCAACATGGTTCAGGTCTTGGGAGTCAGAGACCCCGAGCGGTGGGGGGGTTTTTTTTTTGCCCCTAAAGTCGCCGTTGTTAGGAAACATGGACTCCGGTTTTGTACACATGGTTCCGATGATTGCATGCAAATAGCCCTGCATTTTTTTTTTCCTTCTCAGCTTTTTTGGTCCGCGATCAATCCACCAAGGGAGGTAGGTAGCCAGATCGTCGCTATTTTGTCTTACTGAGGACCGATTACTGAGTACTCGTATTCAGTGCGGATCCACTATACTGTACACTATCCACTGCCCAGCCAGCAAGTCATGTACCTTGATCTGGTTGCGGGCACGTCAGACGCTAGCTACTTCGAGCAGAATGGCTCCACTCCACGGTGATTTGCGCAAGGATAGTCTTTGATAACTTTGCGGAAAAAGAGATATCCTCGCCCTCTCTACCTCTCAAGAACTTTGTATATCGACCTGTGTCTTCGAAAATCGTCGTAAAACAAGTCCTTCCAGATGGACCATCCTCCAGCAACCATGAACGCGGGGGTATGGACGTAATGTGGACATCAATGAGCCTCCACGTCCAGACGATTGACCTCTTCGCCAATAATCTTCGTCCCCTCCTCACTCGACAGGATATCCGTGTGAAACCAGTGCCGGACGCGATGTCCCGCTACCATGAGGACGATGATCAGCCCAAACGCTGCGACGGAGACAAAGGCCATCATGCCAAAGACCCAGCCGACGCCGACGCGGGCCTCCCAGCCGTCGATGAAGAAGGGGATGGCAATCCCAAAGATCGTGCGGTAGAAGTTCATGATGGTGGCGGCCTCGACAGGGTACTTTGTGAAGCACTCGACTTCGTAGTTGACGATGACGGGCACGGCGACGTTGGAGGAGAAGTTCAGCAGGAAATTCCCCACCGCGGCGACCATGTAGTGCAGGTGGTACTGCAGTGCGGCGCCGAAGAGGCCCAGCCCGACGTTCAGGCAGAGGAACGTCGGGAACCACAAAGCGTGCAGTCGGAACTCGGGCTTCCACACGCCCCCGGTCCGGCGGCAGATCCAGAGAGGGAGTCGGTCGTTGAAGGCGAGCCCGTAGAGTTGGCCCGTGATACAGCCGAACCAGGCTGCAAAGGTGACTTCTCAGAAGGATCAGCTGGGATGAGACAGGACAGGACAGGACAAGGGCACGCTTGAGACGGAGTGCGAGAAAAGGTCTTACATTCTGCGTTCTGGTTCGGCGTGAAGCCATAGCCCTTTTCGCTCACGGGCGACTGTAAGAAGACGGCGAGCAGGTTATTGACACCGACGCTCCTGAGCGAGGAATTGCATCAGTATGTCACCATTCTCACACCTGGCTGAGAGAAGAACTGACCAGCCAAAAACAATCATCAAGAACAACCCGCCCAGGATGCCAACAGGATGGACACCGATCCGGATCGGCATGGTCGCCAGATGGAGCTATACATACACATACATCAGTACACCACAATCATCCACGATTGAAAGAGACGACTCACTGCTTCCCTGTTCGTCATCCCTTCAGCGACATTGGGGTTCCGGAAGAGATAGACGTCGACAGAACGCTGGAAGAAAGACGTCGCAGGAACGGGATACGCTGGCCGCCCAGGTCTCGTCCAGCCGGTTTCTTCGAGGAGGAACAAGATCATCAGGGTGACGAAGCCTTCCAGCCCGACGTTGTACCAGTATTCAATGCTCCAGGGGGCGCCGTTACCGACCACGAAGCCGGAGAATGTCGGGCCTGCGAGGGTTCTATTCACATTTTCCAGTAATTAGCAGTTGAGATCATTGAATCCTTGTAGATCTTCTACAGTGATAGATAGGTAGAGAAGGACTTACCCCAGGAGGATCATGACGTTGTAGAAAGCAAAGCATTTCCCTCGCTGATGCAGGAAGAACGTGTCGGTGATGTAGCTCGCGCCCACTGCGAAATTAAACCGGTTAGATATTATTGGTAGACTGCCACACTGCCAGAGATAAAGACTGGCAAGACGATGATTGACCGGACAAACACTCACCAGTCGTCGCGCAGGATCCCGCCAAACAGCCAAACAACCTCGACAGCACGAAGCTGTAGTAATCGCCCGAACCCGTGCACGTCGCCGCCCACACGGTGCAGGCGAGGGTGAGGACCGTCGCCCACAAGATGCTGCCGCCGCGACCGATCCTCCTCGAGACGGGCGACCAAAACAGAGGCCCGGCGCACAATCCAGCAGTGGCGGCCGAGACCTTTCACGATCAATGGCTTGTCAGCAACCTTTCCGTCTCATCCGGGGTGCCTGACACAAAGTAACAAGTAATGGTAACTGTGTCTCTCACAGAGTATGTAATCTCGACTGGAGTCTTGTGGTACAGTGCGCCTTGCTGGAAGACACTGGACACGTTGCCCACGGCCTGCAGCGTTCCTGTGAACCCGGCAAAGGACACGATAAACAGCGTGAGAAGTTTCCGGCCCCGTGACCAGTTCTGATCCGAATATTGTTAGCGTCTTGCAACACTAGAAGCTGGGAAAAGATTGGAGAACCACGTACCAGTGGATCGCGAGGGTCGTCGGAGGGTGCTGGGATAAGTGTGATGCCGGCCTTGCTGTGCGCGGTCGTGACCTTGGAGCTCTCATGGTGCTCGACAGCTTCTTCCTTGGACATTCCGATCGTGTTATCCTGGGTCCTGTGTTATTACTTTTTTTGGCGGCCTGTATCGTGATCGAAAAGGGGATGGAGAACTATTCTGAAAGTCGACGCAGAACTAAAAGCAATGGAACAAGCAGGTCTTCTACTCGCGAGGCCACAAGCGCCCTTGCTGTCCTTTTGACCCCCCATCTCAGAGTCCATGTCTCAAAAGAACCTTCGCCGTTAGCGTGTCGAGACGCTATTACTTCCCCAGAGACCCCAGGAACAGAAGTAGTCACGGTGTTTCACGGGGTTCTTGTACCATTGTCCGGGGCGGAGGATCCACCGTCCATCCAAAGCTTCTTCACCCACGGGGAAACTGCCCGTGGGGGAGTCAACAAGAAACAGTCGCCGAGTATCCATGTCGAAATGACCTGGATCCTCTCCGCATAGCCCAGCTAGCGGGATTCGAGCTTGGTAGGCTAAGCATGGAAATCCATCGGTCGCAGGGGACTAGACCGGAGGCCGGCCTGAGTATAAGGCCTATGGGACTAACGGAACGACCACAGGACCATAGCAGCACAGTTACGTTGCACCGTGGTGGGAGACGAGGAAAGACCCAATCAAAGATGGCCCATTTCACGGCGAATGCACCGATCCAGAATACTTCGATCAGGCTCCATTACTCGCATTCCTATTGGCTGTTCTGGGCTCGGAACCTCAGACGGCCATTCCGAACACCAGCGGATCCACCTACGGAGTCGAAGAAAGCGGTAGGCTGGTTGACCGAGGCTTGCCCCTGATGCTTGGAGCGATCTGAGCATATCGGATCGCTAGCTCTTGCTCCCGAGCGGTCAATGCTGTTGGGTCGACTCCGATGAGTTTGTTCAAAGCACGAGTGAGATCTGGACAGATCAGACTTGGACGAAAGGTCATGAGTGGAGAAAACAAACCTAGCATGATCGAACCAAGACCCCAATGTCTGGCATACTGCGCAATTCCAAGGCAGACAACATCACGATTAAGGCTGCTGAGTGCACTGGAACCTTCAGAGCTGGTCTGCAGAATATGCATCGCCGCGGGCCCGACCAGCGAACAGACGATGAACGGCGACGAATAAGCAATATAGTCGGCCGACCAAGCTTTAATGGCCCTAACAACTTCATGTGCATGTTGAACACACCTTTGGGCGACGGCTCGTTGCTCGTCGGGATCGAAGGGAACGTTAGTTGGTGATCCCGATGGTGATCGAGCGACGTCTTCCGAAGAACAGACTATGAGAGCTTCGTAGGTGCGCGCACTAACATCAATCAGACATCGATAATACTCTGCGCATTCAGTAGTAGTGACCACACTTGGTATAACTCACCTCTGCAGAATGATATTTGTAGTGATGATCCAGTTGCTTCTCGCGAACGTCGAGTCATTGAAAACAAACATGCTCGAGTTCAGCCGGAAGTGGTTGGGCAAGTTCAGACTGAAGCACGTCAAAGCACTTTCCATCTCGGCTCTGGCTTGCGGAGAGACGCCAGTCTGTACTTTCAGATCATACGCCAATGCCATCAGGAAGTTGGCAACCAGGAACCAGGCTCTTTCGTCTTGGTTCGGAGAACCCTGCAGACTCCTCCAGGCAGTTGCCGGGGTAAGGCCCATTGGTGCAGATGCAATCGGCTGCTCCTCATACCACCGTTCATCTGAGCACGGGAGCAGCACCTGCATTTTGTTGCGATCAATCGTAAATGGGCGGCGGACGACCGTTGACGCAAACGTGTCCAGCTCCCAGACTGACCACCATGCACGTCGGTTTTCTTCTCGGAGAACCCATTCTTCGGTAGAAGACCACTGATTGGAGAACAAATTGGGTTGTTGGCAGATATCCTCGTCAACGATGTCGATCTCCAAGTCGTATGCTAGTCGAGCACAGACGCCAGTGAGTGTCCATCCGAACGAGTTGGAGGAATTCGTGTTGTGATAGAAAGATAGCAATATGCAGCCCTGCAAGTACTGGAGTGAGGGAACAAACCCGTCTCCTTGAAGCCGGGTCCCATCTGCATAAATCGACTGAGCTTCTTTCGCGAAGGACTCCCCACGGCAAATGGGCGCAACATCGGCAAAGTGTGCTGCATTTGAGAAGCGAGCCGACAGAGCCATAATGCTGTTCAGCATGAGCCCAACCTCCAGAGACAAGTTTTGCCCGATGGCATCTTCCCGCCTCTTTTGTAGATAGCGAGCATAGAACTGAGGGCGATGCAGTATCGGGACGAAGCCGCTTACGCGATCGAAGAAGAGATCGACTCTGTGAGAAATTAGTCCAGATCCGCCTTCAAGTCTCGAAGTTCTAACAATTGCCTCACTAGGTCGTCCGCAACTGTCAAGTTGTACAGTTTGGGCTTGGGCTTCTGAATCTGTGGTAGTTCTGTCGTGGCTAGATTTATCTCTGTCGCTGATTGTGTTGTTGCAGAAGTAGCATTGACATCTGGTAGATTCAGCGGATTTGCTTGTTTCTCAAGGCATGGATATGCGTCGCTAAAGTGCGCAGACTGAAACCCGTCCTCGAGAAAAAAATTGGACAGTGACGGGCTGAAGCTGGCTTGGAGGTTGTATTGGTCTCCAACCTGGATGTTGAAGCTGGGTTGCTCTGCAAAACTAAAACACATACTTTCTCCATGGTTGTTTTGCGGAGATGAGACGAAGGCGTCCCCAGAGCTCTCTTCAAGGGTCAAGTCTCTAAAACTGCTTTCGCCGGTGTGAGCAACATTTGTAGTATCTTCTTCATCCCGGGCCAGTCTTCTTGGCGACTCAGCTGTGTCCGAGTTGGCTTGCGTGGTATTTGAAAGGCCATCTGCGAAGTAGGCTACACTCGGCTCAGTAACTAGAAGACCGGTATCGATAGACATACTAAGAGAGGTGGTGGAAGCACTGTCTGGACAAGGTCCTCTCTGTCTTTTCCCCTTAGAATGAGCCCCTTGGGCGCAGCGCTCTGGTCGTTTTCTCTTTGTTGGGAAGATACATTGGCTCCCAACACGCAGGCACAATGTACAGGTCGGCCGTCTCATGTCACCTAAGAGTCAAAGTTAGGCCAAATGGAGAAATAGAGGCAGAAGTAAAGTATTCAACACTGCCGCAGCTGGCGAGAGTGCAACTATGAGACACCGCGGGGTGGACTCACATTTGGTTTTCTTCCTTTCCAAGCAAAGAGACATTAGCTGTCTATGCCCCTGAAACAACGATGTGTATTCTCACCTCTTGCACTCTCCACAGGCTCGAATCGGCCACGGTGGTTGTTGGTAGTGAATGTGAGCATTCGATCCGTCAAATGTGTGCTCTGCGACCATCATGTTGTCCCCAGCAGGGCCAACGTAAACTCCTTGCATGTTGAGAAGGACCTCGAAAACCGTAACGCAGGGAAGAAGGTGGGAACGTAGTGAAGAGGATAGGAGACTAATTCAGCTTGCACCAGGCGGCTCTTGTTCTGGGGATGCAAGTGCGGAGAAGAGGGTGTTCGATTTACTAGAAAGGCGCTTCATTGCATGAATCGTGGAGCACTTGAGGGGTCTTGTGGATCTTCTCGAGCTGCCCAAGCATTGAGGCCTAGCGGATGATAGACTTGGGGCGGTCTGGTATCGTCCTGGGCATGGCTTACGGCTTATGCAGCCCAGTTAGTTAGAACCTTCATCGCTCGACCGGGATCCGCCTGATGAGCCGATCTTGCCGCGGTCTAGGGGTCACTGAAACGGAGAGAAAAGCTAGTGTGGCAGCTACTGAAGGAGCGTAGTGCGAGTGGAATCTGTCAGAATTGAGAGTGAATTTCGAAAGACGCAATCAAGTTGAAGAAACCAACACGCGTTGAGAGCGCATCACGTGACGAGGCTGTGACTCCCTTTTCATCGATGCACCGAACAGAGGGAAGGCGACAACCACGAACACCTTGGGCAGATGACATATTTAAGTCATCGGTAACAGCATAATCTACAGTTTCCCTCCCTCCGAGAGCCACACTTCAAACGCCCTGTTAGTATCTGCCACAGAGTCGAATCCCAACATCTTCCTCTGGTAATTGATATCGGCCCAACCCCACCGGCACGGCTTCTCCCAGTCCGCCTCTGCCAGCTCTCTGTCTCGAGCTTCTTGCTCGGGACCATCGTGCATGTGAACTATATTGACTTTAGCAGGTCGCCATAAAAGAGTCTTGGGTACAAAATCTGCATCAGAACCAGACAGAGGTAGAAGGACTTACACATGTATCGGTTGGCAATAGCTCCTTTCACATTGGTTGTAGTTCTCTTCTTGCGCAGCGACTCAAACAGTCGAAGAACAGAGTTTATCGAGGATCGTTTCGCCTCGTCGGAGACTCTGTCGCTGGCTTGGAGTCGGCCGAGCAGAAGCCCAAGCACTAGACCGTCTTCTACGGCCATGGCAGCTCCTTGTGCTTGGTAGGGCAGGCTGGGATGAGACGCATCTCCAATGACCACGACGTTGCCTTTGACCCAAGTCGGGAGTTCTGTACACATATCGTCAGTTTCGGGAGCCTTGATCGGGAACATGACTACTCCTAGAGATGTCCTGAATTCATACCTTCATGATGACACAGCTTCCATTTCAAGACGGTGTCGTGGCAGGATATGATCTTTGCAAGCCTGGATGAAAGTCAGGAAGAGTCAGATCAAACAGGCCCAAAGAGATCACTAACACAGGGTCCCAGCCTTCATATGTCATCCGCATCTCGTCAACATCACCCGCTTCCGTTCTGGACCCAGAAGGCAGATTATCAGGGCGACTGTTGCTGTCAGCCAATGACTCTGCATGTCAAATCTTCACACTCACATGAGAACTAGGTTGAATGCATCGCCATTCTTGACTGGATAAAAGACGCTGTGTCGGTCTGGTCCCACCCAGTTGTAGGTGCAGCGTGAGTTGATCAGTTCGTCGACGCGAGGATCCTGAAACGCCTCAAGTTGCGCTCGAGAGAATGTCCCCCGGTATGCGAGATCCCCAGTCGGCTCAGGAGGCGATGGTTGCCCTACAACAATGTCACG